GCTTTTTATCATGATAAGCTGTTTTAGAAGTTATAATAGCAAATGGGGAAGAGATATTCTAAACTTCAACTTGGGGAAAATAATCCAGATAAGTTAAGGTCTTTCTTATAAAAAATAACAGCCTCTGGTGGTACATGGCCAGGAGAATCTGTGGAAGTAGGATTATGGTGGGCTAACAAATAAAATGATGAAGACCCAATAAGTCAAGTAATAATTTTAGGGGATTAACCTGCTCATCTACAGAATGAAGCTTAAAAATTTAGAAATGAATTTAAATAGACTTATTGGGAAAGTACTCCACTAAAAGGATTAACTTATTATGTTCCAGAGTGTTAAAAACTTAATAGTAAAAATGTTCCTGTTAATACATTTTACCTCCAACAAAGAGCAAAAAGTACGTTTGAAGATATTGCAAAATTAACTAATGGGGTTAGTGAATATCTTGATATAAATTCTGCTTAAAGCTCCAAAAAATTAACAAATCTATTTGTTGAATAAATTTTAAAAGACATTGGAAAACAAGATGGTCGTAGTAACGAATTAATTGCAGCATACAAAGCCAAGTATTCTTGAATTTGTTATAATATAATATTAATTTTAGTTAATTATAATTATATAATGCATAAATATTGCCAATTCATGTTTTTTATTTTATTTAAATTGATAAAATCATTAAAAAATTAATCAATCAATCAAAACTTTTTTTACAAATGAAATTCACTATCATATAATCTTATATTCATAGATTTAAATCAATTTAATTCACAAGCAAATAAATATTTTTAATCAATGTTGATTTATTTAATTTTCTATTCTATATTAAAAAGTGAGTATGAAAACATTCAAAATACTTGATTAATTTTTTAAGATTAGTTAGATTTAGTTAAATATTCTTACATAACTAACAAATAAGAAGTTGTAATATAATTTTTCAATTAAAATATTATATTAATAATTATATCATCTAATATTCTTACAATTTTTCTGTTTTAACAAGATCTATGTTAACTTATCTTTTTTATATTGGCGATAGTAGAAAAATAGATCCAAGAAATAAGTATTTAAATAGTTTCTCTCTAATTTCTCTTTGAGTAACTCTTTTCCATAGCTCTTTTTCATTTAGCCCTAAGAACAAGGCCTCTTTGTATAATTCAATAAGCTAATAAGGGCTTAAGTCTTTCAATCTAGGAGACTTTTCTCTCATAATTGTTGTGAAAACTATTGCTCCTCCAAGGATTTCTTTTTTTCTTTTATATGAATTGAATTTATCTTCCCACTCTTACTGTTTAATACATTTTATAGGAGATTTCATAGAATGTAAGTCCCCATTATTATAATGTGTCATTGCAAGAATATTTTCTACTATTTCCTCTTTTACTGTTTACTTACAAAGGGTAGAAAGTTCAAAAGAGAATTAAGCAATTGAAGATATTTACTCAACGTAGTTTTTAGACTATTTTATTTCAACAGTGTATAATTTTGATGTTTTTCCTTTTCCTTATTTAACCAAGGAACTATTGAAGTATATTGAAGGATAATCGCTAAGCTGGGTATTAGAAATAATAAATTATTCAAAGAAGTTTGACTTAGTTTCAAAATCTTTTAAGTATAAATCTTTCATATATTGTAAGGTTTCTTCTCTATTACCTTTCCGCAGCTTTGATTGAGTTAATTTTTTTTGTTTTTTAAACTAATTTATTTTTATTTATAAATTTATAATTTTATTTTGAAATTATTCTTTTCCTCATATTTTAATAGCTTTTTCAAGCTAAATAAAAAGTAATTCTGGATCGAATCATCAAAGCGGCTTTTTTTGGCAAATAGTTTTTATTAAACATTTTACAATAAATATTAATAGTTAATGATGTATTTTAATATGTAATAGACAAATAAATATTTATTAAAAATAAAATTAATGTTAGATTTTATTTAAAATATTTTCTATAAGTTATATTTTATACCTTAAAGCAATTTAAATTATGTATATAAATTAACCCTTTGACATAGGGCTGTATATTAAATTTAAAGGTCAAAATTTTTTTAGAGTATTAATAAGGGGATAGCTTAATTAATGAGGATAAATAGTAATTTAATTTATTTTATTTTTTAAAACTTTGTATGATATTAAATAATTTATCTTAATATTAAAATACGCAAATAATCAAAATTAAAATATCACTTATTTTTTATTGCTTACATACATATATAGATACTTTACTATTATAAATTTATAAGATAATTTTTCTATGTCAAATAAATTACATATTCTAATTGACTTAAATATACTTATATCTTTTTAATTTATAATTGCCTTAAATATTCTAATATTTAACTTAAAAAATATTCTCATTTAGTTTATACTTTGCTATTTATTTATTTATATATCCTAAAATTAATTTTGCCTTAAGCATTATAATTGACTTAAATATACTAATATCTTTTTTATTTCTTATTACCTTAAATATTCTAATATTTAATTTAAAAAATATTCTCATTTAGTTTATACTTTGCTATTTATTTATTAATTAAGAGATCCTAAAATAAATTTTGCCTTAATTATTATAATTACCTTAAATATACTA